CTTCCCCCAAGCAATGCCCCAGCTGGGTCCCCCGCAGCACTGCAAGCTTCCCCCAGCAGGGCCTGCTCCCTGCTCACTTGTCGCTGTCGTCCGACTCCTGGATGAGGCGCCCGTCCCGCCGCCACTCGACTCCGCGCTCCGGCAGCGTCTCGTCGAACCGTGCCCGGCACTGGAAGGTCACGTTGCTGAATTTCTTCACCACAGCACTTTGGGGTCCCAGCACGATCCGCGTCGCGCCTGGGATGGGACAGGACGGGACGGGACTGGGGGTGACAGGGGGCAGCGCCCGGGCTGCCTCCCTTCCCAGCATGCCCTGCTGCGCCCCCAGCCCCTCCCTTCCCGGCCCGCTCCCCCCTCAGCCCCTCCTGGACCACCCCGCTCCCCCTCGGCCCCTCCCTTCCCAGCATGCCCTGCTGCGCCCCCAGCCCCTCCCTTCTCGGCCCTCTCTGCTCTCCCCTCGGCCCCTCCCTTTCTGCCCCGCTCCCCCCTCAGCCCCTCCCTTTCCGCCAAACTCCACCCCTCAGCCCCTCCCTTCCCAGCATGCCCTGCTCCCCCCTCAGCCCCTCCCTTCCCGGCCCGCCCCGCGGCATGCTGGGGGGCGCGGGGGCCCCACCTTTGACCTCAAGCCAGGCGTTGATGGTGACGTTGTTCTGGTCGTTCTGGGCGAGGCAGACGTAGGCGCCGGTGTCCTGGCGCTGGGCCCGGCTCAGGTGCAAGGTGCCGTTGGTGTGGACGAAGGCGCGTTCGTCCTGCAGGGCCGGCTCCATCCGCTCGGTGAACCTGCCAGCGGGGGCGTGTCAGGGGCACTTGGCACCCTGCCCAGGGCACTGCTGCGGGGAAGCTCGCAGCGCCGGGGGCACACAGTGGGGGCGAGTGAGAGGGAAGGAGGTGGTGTCTGGGGGCAGCAGTGCAGGGGGGGCAGGGAGCGCGCACACGGGGGGTCCCCTCACCACTCCACGCTGGGCATGGGCGCCCCGAAGGCCTGGCAGTCCAGGGACGCCGTCTGGTTCTCCACCACGGCGTAGCGCTGCTCGTCCGGGGTCAGGATCTTCGCCGGGAGCTCTGCAGGGGGGGGAGGTAAGGGGGGCTCTGGACCCATCCCCGCCCCTGCACCCCCAAACCCACCCACCCAGGGGATGCCTGGCAGGATGGGCCCCTGGGAGCTGCCCTTGGGGGAGAGGGTGCCAGAGATGGGACGGTTGCCAAGGGCTGGTTGCTGGGGGACGGTTGCCAGGGCTGGGCTGGTTGCCAGGGGTGGTGGTTGCTCGGGGGTGGCTGGTAGGGGGAGGAGGAAGCTGTAACCTAGGCCCAGTTGCCAGTGGTTGGTTGCTGGGGGTGGTGGTTGCTAGGGGGATGATTGACAGTTGCTAGTGGGCGATCGCTAGGGCTGGTTGCCAAGGCGGCGGTCGCCGGGGTGGTGGTTGCTGGGGGATGATTGATGGTTGCTAGGGAGCGGTCGCTAGGGGGGATGAGGGGTGGTTGCCGGGGCGGCGGTCACCAGGCACTCACGGATGACGTAGATGTAGGCGTTGGCCAGCAAGCGGCCGTGGCGGTTCACGGCCTCGCACTGCGTCACCAGCGAGTCGTTGGGCTGCACCTGAGTGAGGATCAGGGCCCCCGAGCGCAGCATCCGCGCCGAGTCCGGCGCCAGCTCTGGGGGCGAGATGCGGCTGGGGGGGCAGCAGAGACGCCCCGTGTCCCGCCCACTGCCCCACCCCCGCCCACTGCTCCGCCCATTACCTGGCCCCGCCCACTGCCCCACCCCCGCCCACTGCTCCGCCCATTACCACGCCCACTGCTGGGCCCCCG